GGGTCTCCCCAGTGATTTCTTGGAAGGTTGTACACACATGCATGATATCAGTGGCTTTCGGTTCCTGGGACCTGGGTGTTGTCTTGCTTGCTTAGTTTCTCGTGGTAGATTTCTGGGCCGCTGTCCAGCAGCTCATGCTAACACACATCATCTTGACAGGCTATGAGAGTAGTAATAGTTTTACAGTAGCCAACACTGGAAACAACCAATGACCGTCAACAGGAGAATGGATAAATAAGTTGTGAGACGTTTCTTCACGTGCATGACCACGTGGAGACCGTGTCTGAGCTGCACGCAGCAGCATGAATGACGGACGGTCAGGCTCGTGATGGGGAGGGAGGAAAGCAACTCACACCGGGATACACGCGGTATGATGCCACGTGCACAGCTTAAAGATATGTCAGACTCAAGATTCTTTTGTCTAGGGATACATGCCTGTGCGGTGTCCGTGAAGACAGCCGAGGTTGGTACTGCAGACAGAGCGGCCAGACCCCAGTGCCACCGCCATCTCTTCTCCAGCTGCGCCGAGCTGCTTGGTCGGCCTGCAGGGTGCAGCTGGTGCATCCAGACCCCCTCTCCATCCCCTTCCCTGCCCTAGTCTCAGTCCCCATCGCTGTCCCCGCCCTGGTCCCCGCCCATGTCTCCACCCGGCTGAGGCTGGGAGCTGGAGGCCCTGGACACCTGGCAGTGCTTGCCCTCCTGCCACTGTCCCAGCCTCCCGGGTAATTTGATTTAGGATCCCTGAATTTGGTAAACAGCATTCCCAAGCGTTGTCTCCTTACCCCGTGGGGGGAGAGAGATCTCCATCTAGAACCCTAGCAGTGGTTCCAGCAACGCCTCCCACCTTCAGCAGGACACTGCTCCCCTCCATTGCCAGGACTGGTCCCGGGACACCGGGAGGCACCGAGAAGGGGTGGCCAGGTGACCGGTGTGGAGGCGGCGCTAGGACACTCCTGGGGAGTCCTCAACCTTCAGGACGAGGGCCATGAAAGGGGGCTTTAGGGATGAGCTAGGCCCCGGGACGCCTGCTCACGAGGGCACCCACCCTGCTGCTCAGTCTGACCTCACTCTCTTCCCCGCTCTCCCTGCTGGGACATCTCTTGATGGGGAGGGCCGCACGCCTCCCCTGCACTTGAGAGCTCAGAGACTGGGGGTGGGGAGGGGGGGTGGTGCCCTTCCTCCTGCGGCTGGCTCCTCCCACGCCCCCCCACCCCCCCCCACCCCCCGCACTGGGAGGCACCCCTGGGGACCTCAGAGGCCAGAAGGAAGCTCGGGGAGATTTTGAGGCCAGCCGGGCAGGTGGCGGCGCCACACCTTCCATCTCCCCCCACCCCTGCAGGCTCATCACCTTCCCGGCCTGAGATGAAGGGGTGGAGGCTGCCTGGGGGGAACTGCTCTGCGCTTGGGCGCAGGCGCGCAGAGGGCGTGTGCTGGGAACCAGGCTCAACACCTCCCCATCAGCTCCATTCCGGGGTGTGGGGGGAAACCGAGGCAGAGACAAGCAGATCTTGCCTCCAGTACCCCGAACCTGCTCCCGGCAACCCTCACCGCAGGGTGGACAGAGGCGCAGAGCACAGGGTTCACATCTGGGCACGCTGCCTTCCGGTGGTGAGGGCTTGGGCTCTGAGCCAGTTTCCCTGCCCGCAGTGGAGGGTGGGACCAGCTGCCCTGCAGGTCCTCTGACCCTTCCAGAACACGCACGTGGGGGCGTGGGGTGCTCCACTGAATTGCTCCCGTCCGCCCTGCAGCAGCGGCTCCGGGGGTCACCGCCCCAAACCCCGACCCCAGATCCGGGAGGCTCAGCCCCTGCCCAGGGCTTCCCTGCCCCTGGTGGCAGCAGGCTGGGCGGAGACCCCAGCGCTCCGAGGACTCCGAGGATGCGGGGCACACGCTGCTCCAGCAGGCTCTTGTTTTTTAGCACTGGGCTAGGTTTTAAGAGCAAATAAGCAATGGCACGAACGAACACCTAGTTGAAAGTTAGCGCACTGAAATCTCTCGGGGTGTCTGACACTAGCAGGTAGAATCACACTCTTCCCTTTGGACAGCGAGCTCTTTCCTCCCACGTTCTCCAGAGCACACACTCACGCGCACACACCCCACCTACCAAAGTAAGATAAGTAATTTTGCTGTTTAAACTGTAATGCTAAGTTTTAAGTTTATATATGTGTGTGTGTGTATATATGTATGTGTATATGTATATATATATATAAAGGAAAAAACTAACTTCAAAATGGAAACTTATAAAACCATCAAAGGTAATAAAAGCTTAAAACCACTCTCCAAATCAACAGAGAAAATACTGTATTTTTACTTATTTGAAGAGCAAAATAGCTTTGTTGGCTGGTAAAAATGCCCTCTTTCAAAAGGGATAAAAAACACAGGAAGAGACTATAAAGTATAAACCTCTGATGGGCACAATTGGAGCATTTATAAAATATTCTCATTTTATTCCATGGGATAAAATTGGTAAAGAACTTTCTCTAATTTATATGTAGCTTAAAATCGTTTAGCTTCTTCAGGAGTAAACCCACAAATAACTTATTTTAGGAACCACACTCTCTCCTGGCAACTTAATACCCACTGCCCATTTCTAAGCAAATCTCAGCAACTCCCTGGCATTTCAGGGCTGAGCTACACCTGCATGTTTACGAAAGGAAATGTAACTTACCGATTGCTTTTTAATTATAATTTTAAAATAAAAGTGACAAGACATTTAGTAATCTTTTTATTACATTCATATACTCAGGGTGAATTAACGCCTAAGCCCTCAAACAACAACAAAAATATATTACTTAGATACTTTATAATTTTGGTACGTGAAATAAAGACAAATAGAAAACTATGTCAAAACATTAAAAAGTTGCAAATTTTCATTAAAAGTGTTTACGCTTGTACTCTAATGTCAAATTTATAGATACAATTCTTTTAAATTAGAATATTTTGAAATATGAAAATAATAGAAATAAATATTGTTAAGTATCCACAACATATTCATGAGTGAAATTTCAATTAAGTACTGTTCCAAGTTTAGATATTTATGAATGGCCAAGGGAGCTTATAGTTCCTTTTTAGTTTTCTATCCTTTATTCTTGGTCCCTTAGTAGTATATACATAACTCTGTAAATATTTTAATAGCCACTGATCACGGCCAGGAATCATCGGAACAGAAGCACATGATTCTTCTGTAACCAGCAAGACTGATCTGTTTTAAATGCACTCAATTTTGTTTGTCAATCACTAAAAATTAAGTAATTTTACAAATATCTTCTTTATGTTACAATACATAGAAAACATTAACTGTATATTTCTTAGAAGTTTTGGTTGGAGAGAAAAGAATCATTTCTTGGTTAACTTTTCTCATTGTTCTGTTTAAAGAAGTGTTCTATCTGTACTTCACTCTCATGGGTGAGAGACCATGGCAACATCTTTTTGAAACCAGGAAGGATCATTTTATAATTATCTTGGCATCTGTACTTTGCTCTCTCTAGTAAAGTTTTATGTTATTTCTCCCCCCATACTTTTACATTTTTTTATAGAGTATATTTTTGAAGGTAATTCTCTTGGTCACTCTTATTCCGGGTATTTTGAGTCAACCATATGAGAAAGCATTAGCCTACCAAAAATGGAAATTGACCGACTAGTACAAATTCATGGTCACTAACATACCCAGGGAGCACATCGCTCAAATAGCTATTAGTTTTAAAATATATATTTTGTTATTTTACATGGTTGGGAATTAAAAATATTCTTACACTAACGGTGTAGTACAAGTTTCGTCATCCGAGGAAGCCTGCATCATGCTCAGGAGGAAAGCACACCCTGGGCACGGGGCCGGGTGGGGCGGGGAGGGCCATCTTCTTTCGGTCTCTAATGGGCTGGGCACCTGGGGACCACAGGTGTGGACGAGAAGGCGGCCTTTCCAAGCACGTTCTGGACAGACACTGGCTCCCCCACAGCTACCTGGCTCTGAAGCCAGGTGAGCCACTGCCACAGGCCAGGGAGGTTGGTTGGCGGCTGGTCAGGAGACTGGATTCTGAGGTTTGGTTTCATCATTTTAAGTGGTTTTTGGTGTTGAAAGTATCATACAAAGTGTTTGAGAAAAGTGAACATACAGTTGCAATTCCCACGTGGATCCGAGCGGGACGGGCTGACGGGCTGAGCAGAGGCTCGGAGGCTCCTCTGAATGTTACACAGAGTGGGAGTCGCTCTGCCTGCCCCAGGGGTTTAGGAAAGGGCTATTTTGACGGACACACCTGCTCAGGTGAGCGCAGGATCATCGGGGAATGTCGTCTCCTATTTTTCTAGGGCTTCATGTGTGTAAAGAACTTGAAGACCCCCGAGGAAGGGCCTGACATGGAGCCGCCAGCATTAACCTCCACTCCGCCTGGTGTGGGCGCCGATGGGGGGATCAGGTGGGCTGCGCTCCGAGCGTCTGGCAGGCGAGAGCCGAGGGGGCCGGGCCTGGACCTTAACTTCTTGACCTCGACCTTACTTCTTGCTGCTGTGGACATGCAGGCTTTGCAGGCCGACGGCCCCCCTACCCTGGGGAGGAGGGGCACAGGGTGACTGGCCCCCCCATCCCATCCCATCCCATCCCCCGGCCTGGCGAGCCCTGCAGACCTTCCACCACGGCTGAGAGAGACCCACATGCAAGAGGTTTAGAGTGAGGGCTTTATGGAAATCGCTCCAAGCAGCAGCGCAGAGGTGCTGCGCTGGGCCTGTCCCTCCGCATGGGCCGCTCGGCGCTGCTCCTCCAGCAGGACCGTCTCCTGTGGACCCCGGGCCCTGGGGGGGTGGAGACCTGCGAGCCGGAGCCATGGGGAGATCAGGGCCTCACTCCGGACGCAGGGGCCACGGTCGGGACGGGCGCAGCCAGGAGCCTGGGGGCAGCAGGGGCGGAGCGGGGGTTGCCATGTCTAGAGATGCTTTGAGGTGACACGTCCACGGCTGGGGAAGCTGCTCGGTCCCTTTGGAGACGAGGGAGCAGATGCGGTGCTGTGTCACCGCTTTGTGTACGTCCTGCCGGAGCTTTTACTCAGGCCCCCCTTGGGGGTGGGGATCTTGCTTCCGACCTTGGATCCCGAGGTCCCTGACTTGGTTGCGGCTGGGCCTTTACCTGCAGTGGACACACAGAGCACGGGGGACAAACGTGAGCCAGGGTGCAAAGCTGCAGTGACAGTACGAGTGGCCCGGGGTCGCCAGACACGGGGAGGATCTGAGCACGAGGGGCTGGGACGCTCCAGGTCACCTAGCCCACAGGTGGCCGGGCTGGGCCGGCAGATGTGAGAGGGGGCTGGGCGGGCCACCCTCGAGGATGCACATGTGACGGCAGGAGAGGAAGAAGAAAGAGCCAGAGAAGGAGACTGACGCACGGTCAGAGGAAAGAACTGAGCCGCTTACCTAATTTTTAGTTTCAAACAGCTCCCGAAATGAAGACCAGCAGCCATGTGACCAGGGCCGGTTACCTGGCTAGGAGGCCGGGGCAGCTCCCCCAGCACCTCTGGTCCTCACACGTGTGCATGTGTGCGTGCGCGCGCGCGTGTGTGCGTGTGTGAGGGGCGCAGCTCCTGCCCGTGCCTGGCGCTGAATGAGCACGAGACACATTTCCTCATGTTCTCGTTGATCACAGGGCCCCAAAATAAAGTCATGTATCCAAGGTCAAGAATAATTTTCTAATGAAAAACAACACTCTTCTGTAAGGCATTCTAAATCCCACAGAAAGCAGCCAGAACTGGGATTCAGAAGTCAGGTCGTGGCGCCGCCTACGGGTCTCCTACTGAACCCCGAGTTTCTGGACACTGGTACCCATGGTGCGGAGGGACACGAGACCCGCGGTGCGCCTGCGAACACCTGCGGTTTGGTTTCTCAACTCTGTGAGTGGGGAAGCAGGACCACGTGGAGGGGCTTCGGCCAGAGCTGGTGCTGACGACATGATCGCCCTACTTGTTCGGGACCCAGGGACAGGGCCGAGGCCGGGGCGGATGCTTACCTGGCGGCAGCGTGGGCACCTTGCGTAGCACGTGCGTCCGGCGCAGGTTCACTGTGCAGCCCGCGGGGCCCATGAGGTGGGCCTTCCACGCCTGAAACGAGAGGCAGGTGGAGTGGGAACCAGGCCACCAGAGGGGCCACTGAGACGACCGAGCCAGGGGTGGCGATGCGCTGCGGCTGCGGGCGTGGGTCCTGAGCTCTGTGCATGTCCTGCCTTGGAGCCCCCTGTGCTGAGTGCACGGCCGGAGCACCCACGTATCTTGAGATGCTGCCTGCACTTCACACCTCTCCCAGCTCTCATCACCGCTGAGCAAACATGCCAAGACCGCTGTCACGCGGGGTGCACAATGTGCGACGGTCCAGGGGCACAGGGTGCAGGGGCTGAGGGTGGCCCTGCTGGACAGCCAGCAAGGAAGAAGGGCCCTTGGTCCTACAATGACGAAGAAAAGAATTCTGCCAGCACCTGCGATGGGCCAGGAAGTGGCTCCTTTCCCTGCCGAGCCACAGATGAGAGCGCAGCCTGGATGACACCTCGAGTGCAGCCCTGGGAGACCGCAAGCAGAGGACCCAGCCAGGTTGTGCCTGGACTTCTGACCCACAGAAACTGTGATAGAACAGCGGGTGTTTAAGCTGCTCGGCGGGTGGTGCCACGTTAAGAAAACACGGAGAAAGCAGAGGAGAAGCAGCACAAGCCTGCTAATGCCTCTCTGCAGTTGACTGTGAGTCAGATGCCATCCCCTCAAGGCAGACGCTGGGGGGCTTGGGGGGAGGGCAGGAAGGGAAGGAGGCCACTGCCAATGTCTGCGCTGCTCAGAGCAGGGAGCCGACTGGTCTCCAGAAGGAGGGGCTGGTCACGTACGACAGTAATAGTGTAAAGGTGACAACGACAACAAAAGCTCAAAGGCTCCTAAATTCTAAAAATACACAGGGAGAGAGAAAATGTATGGGCATGTGAGAGCAGTTCACATTTAAGACTAAAATGGATAAACCATAAAAAACCCCTCGCTCTGTAAGAGGAGGGATGGTGGGCAGGGCAGCAGCTTCTGTCGGGTCTTCCCTGAGTAAGTCTCATTTGACAGACTTTGGAACCGTCTAAGTATCTCATGTAATTGTAGAGCTTGTGTTTGAAAACCCCTGGGACTTGAACACAGACTGAAACAATGAGGCTGAATTGTTAACAACTGGCGACACAAGCACGTGGAGCAACTCCCGTGACTGTGAAGCAGAGACGCTTTTGCCCCACGTCTCCAGGAGGCACGGGAGGGACACGAAGAGCTGGGACAGCGCGGTGTCCAGCAGCATCTCCCTGTCCGCAGCACCCGCACTGCTGCTCTGAGCCCCCGCCAAGGGGAACGTGGGTCCGAGCAACGCACACTCTGTGACAGTCCAATGGGCATCTCTGGGGACTGTGGGCACTGATTCTTGGGAGGGAAGGAAGGACACACAGACGTGCGACGCCAGAGGTTCAAGAAACCCTTACAGCTCAGACTCCGAATCAGGAACGTCACCATGAACTTTTTTTTTTTTTTTTTTTTTCGGGGTGTGGGCTTCTCACTGTTGTGGCCTCTCCCGCTGCGGAGCACAGGCTCTGGACGTGCAGGCTCAGCGGCCATGGCTCACGGGCCCAGCCGCTCCGCGGCATGTGGGATCCTCCCGGACCGGGGCACGAACCCGTGTCCCCTGCATCGGCAGGTGGACTCTCAACCACTGCGCCACCAGGGAAGCCCCTACCATGAACTTTTGATGGATTTATCTCAACGTTTTCCCCGGCTCTGTCCGCAAAGAGGCCCAGAATGGTACCGAACCAGGAGCAAGGAGCACCCGAGGCACCCGAGGGGGTGCTGGAACGTCATTTCCACTGCAGGGAACCAGGAACGGAAGGCTTGGTGGGGCATCTTGTTGCGACGGCCAGGAGGCTCTGAGTCCCCTGGGCCACCGGCAGCGCCAGGAGCCTGTCTGCAGAGGCTCTGATGGCCAGAGATCAGCTCATTCACGCACCACTAAGCACAGCGATGCCAACAGCTGAACACGGCAAACAGTTTTAAGCTGTGAGTTCCTGATGGTGCTAAGATCCAACAAGCAAATAAGCCACCACTGGAAGATGCTGGGGACCCAACTTGTCATTCTGAAAACCAGTCAACGATGGAAGAGACCTAAACCTTCACCGTGCCTTCCCCACACACGGCCCGTGAGGAGGCACGTGGTTCCCATGCTTGTCTCTGTTACGTGTGTGACGTTTTCTGAGAGGGAGAGAGGATGAGCCCTGGACGGCCGGATGGCCGGGGCGCTGAGGGAGCAGCGGGCGGCCGGGCCCACCATCCGGCACAGTGGGGCGTCACTGGGTCTGAGCCATCCTATTGGCACCACAGCCCCAGGGCTGGGACAAGGGACCCCGCAGTGGGTGGACCGCAGGTGGCCGCGGCTGAGGGGCTCAGGGCAGGAGAGGCTGGGCCTGCAGGGCCCCGCGGGAGCTCAGCATGCAGGGCAGCGCTGGCGGCGTGTGAGCCAGAGTGATCGGGCTGACACCAGAGGACGGGGCGTGTGGAGGAGAGGGTGGGAGACCCTGGCGCCCCCCAACTAGGCCGCTGTGTCACCCGCGTGGCTCACGCTGGGAGTGGGCGGAGTGCTGGGCACCGGACACGAGGTAGGATTTCCAACCTGGACGGGGCTCAGCTTTATGCATCACAAGGGACCAGAGCGTTACAGAATCTGGCCAGGAGGCCAGTCTAGGCCCCAACGTGGAGATGAAAGCCAAGCCTGGAAAAAGTGAAACCACTTCATGCTTCCATCCCAAAGAGCCGAGATGCTCCCCCTTCCTGGGAGATGCCACAGGCGTGCTGGGCAGGGAGCGCAGGAACCCTGAGACAGAGCCTCACCCCACCCCGGGGGCCAGCCTCCGCCCGACGCCCGCCGTCCCTCCACGCGGCCAGGTCGCCCCGTCAGCCCCTCACCTCTTCTCCGGGGGTGAAATTCTCGTGGCACAGAGGACACCGGTTCGCCAGCTTCTCCGCTTTGGCAGCTGAAACGGTTTCAATGAGACAAGATCTAGTTACTCCTGTGGGGCGTGAATGGCGGCGCAGAGGAACGGGTGGGCAGGGCCACCGGCAGACGCGGGATCTGCCCCCCGACCCCCCAGCCGGGCCTCCGGGGATGGCGCGAAGGTCTCGGGGGGCTGCGGGGGCACTCACGGTTGCAGTCTCTCGTTTTTATGTGTCTGGGCAGCTCTTCCTTTAAAACGGCCTCACTGCAGCGGTAACACTCCCCAAAGCCGTCCTTTTTGTCACACTCCGTCAGCAGGTGCTCCGTCAGGCTGGAAATCTCCACCACCTGGAAGCCACGACGGGACACGTCACACGGCTGAGCACCCCGAGGCGCGTGCGGCCCCGGCCCCTGCACGAGCGCGCGCTTCCTGTCCCGCCAGCACCACTCGGGAAGGGAGGCACACACCTGTTACCTGCGCAGTCACGTACACGTGGCTGGAGACCTCACATCCTGCTTGCCCTGCTACCTCAGGAGCATCCAGAGGCCACGGCTAAGCGGGGAGGGGAAGCGACGGTTCACCCACAACACTAACCCTGCCCTGTACTCTGAAGAGCTCAGGGGTTTACGTGGCCTTGGGTTCAATCCGGGCTCCTGGCCATTTCTAAGAACGTGCCCGGAAACGGGTCACAAGAAGAGACCCTTTCACCACTGTGAACTCTTTGCCAGGAGGGGCTTGTACACACCCTAGAGCTTCACGCCGCAGACTCTCGCTTGCTGCCAGAGGAGCCAGGCCACGCCGGGTGGAGGAGTCTGCACCGCCAGCCAGGGTGGGGGGGAGCTGCTCAGAGGGTGGGGCCTGCCCACCCCGCCCCTGCAGGCCTGAGAGCACCCAGGACAGGAGAGAAGGTCACTCCCCTTCTGGTTCCCCTCCTCTGTCTAAAGGAGGGCTGGCTGCATAGAGGAAAGATGAACAACTGGGGTGCGCGAGGACCCCTTCAACAGGGTGCCCAAGCATTAACCCTAGAACGGGTCAGTAGGGTGGACAACATGAAAAGCTCCTGCTCGTTGGTGAAAAGGCCAGACACAGAGTGGACACCACACATTCAAGTGGCGAAGGATGCACATCCGGGTGTGTCAAGAACGACTACACGTCAGCAATAGGGGGACTGGCACCCAATTCAAAATATGGGTGAGAAACTAGAAGTGCTTCGCAAAAGAGGTCAGCGAGAGGCCAGCAGGGGGACAGGGCTCCAGCCCAGCATCGTCAGGAGAGCGTGATGGGCGCGTGGCAGGTGGCGACTGCGAGGCTGGCGAGGATGGGGGGCGGCTCCCGCCCGGACACTAGGCGCGTGGCTCACACTGGCCTTCTGCAGCTGGACGCGAGCCCACCCAGCCGTCCTACAGCGAGGTGTGCGCCCAAAAAAGTGCGTCCGCACGCGCGGAAGATCACACAAGGGTGTCTGTAGCAATGCTATTCCTAACAGTCTCAGCCCAAACCCAGACATAGTAGAAAGGACTGATAAATCGCGGTACATCCAAACAACGGAGTACTGTACAGCAAACTCCAGACGTCGCGTATGATTCCACTTCGGTAAAACTCACAAAGCAAGCAGCAGACGTGAGGACAGTGATGGCCCTGGGGAGGAGGGTGGGGTACCTTGCGGTACGTGGCCTGCTGGTGGTTACGTGGATTTGTTTATCTTGCGATAATTCAGGAGCTGTAACACCTATGACTTGTATACATTTATATATATGTTATACTCTAATAATAAATTAAGAAAAATCAACCCCAACAAAACTTTCCCCATAACTTTTCCTCTGAAAATGCTAAGATCTGGGACATTTTTGTGACTCGGCCTTCGGGAACTGCGTGTCCAGCTCGCCTGCCTGGGTCTGGCCCGCCCGCGCCCAGCACCTGACCTGTTTGCAGTAGTCACATCTCGTCAGCATAAGACAGTGCTTCCAGTAATGGAGATCCAGGCCTTCTTCTGTGAAGGAGTCGCTCCTCTCCCCACAAAAAATGCATAAACTGAAACAAAACAGAAAGGTAAGAAATGAAGCACAGACCCAGTTTAGCCATCCCCATTCTGCCGGCTCCCGGGGAGCTCTGTGACGCCCCCCATGCCCAGCCTGCGGCCACCATCCTGGACCCACTGAGTGGGCTTCAGCTTGACCTGGAGGCACGGCTGCCCCTCACAGAGGGGCCTCAGGAGGGGCTGGGTAGCTCCTCTATCAAAGGGCGTAAACAAGAGTCTTTACCACGTAGGGGTTTGAGATAAAGTAGCTTAAGATCCCTTAGAATTCTAACTCTGTCAGCGTCACCAAGCAGAAAGGATATTTTAAATCACAAGAAAAGATGAAACCAAGACATTTCCCTTAAATTCCTTATAGATTTGTCTCAGCCACAGCACAGGAGAAAGCATTTTGCTGCTGTAAAGTTTGAGCCTGACCATATTCAATGTCCTGTGATAAGCCATAGTGGAAAAGAAGATGAAAAAGAACATATATATGTATAACTGAGTCACTCTGCTGTATAGCAGAGATCAACACACTGTAAATCAACTATACTTTCATAAAACACTAAAAGAATTTTTGGCCTGTAACAGGACTTCTGACAAACAGCCTGCTCGTTTCTGTCGGGAAAGAGAGGAAAGGTTATCTCGACTCACAGCTGATGCTCCTGGTTTGGAGGGCAATTTCCTAGCTTTCAAAATCACTGAAAAGAGACAACTAGTTCACGTAATCCTCATGAACCAGGGAGAATATATTTATCTGACGGCATTTTTATGGGTTAGTCCCTCTACTTATTCTACAGTGGGTTAGAGACAACTTTACTCACTTATCTAAATAGTGATTATCTGGAATTTCTGGAGCATTAGATGGGGCCGCTTTCCTTCCTTGAGTGTCTAAAGAAATTAAAAAGAAAGCTATTTAAATAACCTTTTGTAGAAAACTATTTTCAAAGTTTTAGTAACCAGTTGGATGGGAAATACAGTTTAAAAGCTACCAGTTAGTAAAGGTAGTATTTTGCATTCAGCCCTGAAGCATCGGAGATGCAGACATTCGCCGCGTGAATACAAGTGGTTTCTTACGTACCCTGGCTCTCGGCCTTCGCAGCCTCACGCTCTTCTCCCTGAAACAGAAGAGCAGAAAGATCAGGGGCAGACGGCTGCAGTGTGTGAGCCTACCCAGGGTCTACCGTGGTCCTGGAGGCACGGCCTCAGGCTGCGTGGCAGAATCTCCATCCGCAAACAACACACTTGTTTGAAAGAGTTGCCCTCTCAATCCGTGGGCAGCAGTCTCCTCCATCCTGCCCTCCACAGCCCCTACCTCGGGCTCCTGCCCGCCCCCCGCCCCCCGTCTCCTTGGAAACCACTCTTCGTCAAGGCCACCTGCACCCCCTCCGGGTCGCCTGCCCATCATCAGTGTCTGCCCGCCCGAAGGACGCGCCATGGGCTCCCGGCGGCACGTGACTCTCCTCACCTGTCTCCTCCAGGCCCTTCTGAGTCGGGCTCCCAGGGCGCCCCCTGCGCCCCCTCCAGGACTCAGCCCACCCCCCGTTTGTCCATACAGACCCTGACGGTGCTTTTGCCCAGGTCCCAGGCTGCACACCTATCTCTGTGCTCATGACCCAAACGTTTGTGCCATCACCTGGGCCTCTCTGCTACCCAGCATGTACGTGGGTCTTAACGTCACTTAAATGTGACTTAACCAGACCAAACCCCCCTTCCCTGCCCACAGGCTCCCCCTCACGTGCGCCCCTCGCAGCCTCTGGCGCAGAGCCCAGAACTGCCAGTCTTCCAGGTATCCAGGCCACGAAGCCTGGAGACCCCAGCGGCTCCCACCCCTCCCTCCTGTTCCAGGTGTGGCCTGTCCCCGACCCATCAGTGAGCCCCGCAGGCTCTGCTTCAGCACCCCAGGAGCCTGCCCTTCCCACCACCTGCAAACACAGTGGCCAGGGCGGCCCGTTACTGCCCCTGTAAAGGGACCCCTGGAGGCTCCAGAGGCCACGGCACTGCTCCCCCGGGGGCCCCCCCGCCACGCAGTGTCACGTGGTGTCAGGTGGCGTCAGCTGGCCGCCTCCCTCCTCTGGCTTCCTCTTCCCTTGAGCGGGCACCACACCCTCACGCACCGCGTATCTGCCTCGTGGGTCTTGGCTGCTGGGCGTCCCCACTGTGGGAGGTGACAGCCGGGGAGGCACTGCTGACCGGAGGAAGGACAGGGTGCAGGGCCCTGTGTGTCCACGGCGGGAAGCTGCCCCTCTGCACCGAGCTCTTCTCCTGCCACTCAGGGGCCTCCCGGGGGCTCCTCCTGTGACCAAGCCTTCCTCCCTGCACTGGCCAGTCTGCCCCACCTGAGCCTGCTAGACCCACGTGGCCTGGGCTGCTGGCCACTGGTGGGGGAGGCGCATCTGGGACTTGCAGTTTCACGGGAGGACAGGGATGAGCTGGTCCCCTATCCACGGCATTAAGTGGCGCAATACATAGACACTGTCTACTGTGATTGCAGAAAATCAAAGCTTACACGATAGGAACTTCTCTCCAACCCAAGCTCTGAATACAGAAAACACACGAGAATACAATTTTAGGACTGGGGAAGCACTTGACAGACTGATACTAAACTTGCAAATAGGGTTCACGTGATTTATACACCTACCAACTAAAGAAAGCAAACGTACACAAATGGATTCTGGGCATCAAAAACAATTCTTATTAATGAGAGATGGGTTTGTATATCTCGCAGGGAGACAAATGAACAATGCCAAAAGTTAAATTTGAGTTATAAAATCTCCCTTAATCTATGCTTTGAACAGATTAGACAACTGCTTAGTAATTTAAACATCTTTTCTGAAAACTCGTGAGCAATCGGGTGATTTAAAAATATTCTGCCGTGCTCAAAAGTTCTGGAGCTGGATGGTGGTGGTGTCTACACAACGATGTCAATGTCCTCAACGGCACAGAACCGTACACTTAAAAATGGTTAAAATGGTAAATCTCATGTTATGTATATTTTATAATAATAAAAAACAGAAAAAAAGATTCCGTCATCCTCCTACGAGATGGCTTCAGTGATCATCTCAGGACAAGGACAGCAGGACGGCACCCACCCTCCTGAGCGGCCGTGCCGTGTGGTCTCTCCTCCTGGAGCAGCGGCCCTTGTTCCTGCTGCATCTCTGGAGCCCAGGGCAGGGCTGGCCCAGTGCAGGCGCTCAACAAACACTGAAGGATGAAGACGAGCCGGAGGACAGGCCTCCATGACCCGCACCACAGATGCTGCGGGGACACACAGCCTGGTGACCTCGGCAGCTCCCAGGCCGGGCACTGCTCCCGCGCTGCCCCGCTGGTCCCCCGCCTCCTCTCTTCCGTTCCTCGGTGGCCACTTTCCCGCTCTTCTCACAGGCATTCTGACATGCCAGCGTCCAGCGGAAACGTCACCGTCACTTTCTGTCACAGGCACTTCAACATACATTCGGTCGTATTTTCTTTCTTTTCTGCCATTTTTAGTCACTTATTCTTTTTCTAAAAAGCGGTGGTCAGAGCACTTCCCAGGAGACTCACCCTCATGAGCACAGCCGGCCTTATGCACCCACGTCCTCTCCCTTTTACTATCAACTTAACGAACTTAATCACAAAAACCAGAGTGATGGCACAAATTTAAATCACAGAGGCAGGGCCCTTCAGAAGGGACACGTTTCATACAACCAAACATCATCTGATGCCCCCTGCGCACTAGGACTCAGTGCTTCCTGACAGGCAGCATTTGCCCCAAACCTTCCTTTTTTAGTGCACGGAAATCAGATCTTCATATTCAAGCTCCTTTACCTCCTTTGCCTCTGAAGGAGGCGAGAAGTTGCAGAGAGGACTTCTGTCCCTCTACCCCCTCCCTGCTCCGCCAACTCCTGCAGCTCCGAGAGTCCTCTCTAAACACGGCTGGGCCAGCAGCACACTTCATCCCCGGGGAGAATGACGAGCATGCAAATGTTACTTCTCCTTTTTCATTTCTAATTCTGTTGACTTAAGTCTTCTCCCTTTTTTTCTTGATGAGTCTGGCTAATGGTTTATCAATTTTATCTTCTCAAAGAACCAGCTTTTAGTTTTATTGATCTTTGCTATTGTTTCCTTCATTTCTTCTTCATTTCTTTTTGATATGATCTTTATGATTTCTTTCCTTATGCTAACTTTGGGGTTTTTTTTGTTCTTTTTTTTTTTAAACATCTTTATTGGGGTATAATTGCTTTACAATGGTGTGTTAGTTTCTGCTTTATAACAGTGAATCAGTTATACATATACATATGTTCCCATATCTCTTCCCTCTTGCATCTCCCTCCCTCCCACCCTCCCTATCCCACCCCTCCAGGCGGGCACAAAGCACCGAGCTGATCTCCCTGTGCTGTGCAGCTGCTTCCCACTAGCTATCTATTTTACGCTTGGTAGTGTATATATGTCCATGTCCCTCTCTCACTTTGTCACAGCTTACCCTTCCCCCTCCCCGCATCCTCAAGTCCATTCTCTAGTAGGTCTGTGTCTTTATTTCTGTCTTACTCCTAGGTTCTTCCTGACATGTTTTTTTCTTAGATTCCATATATATGTGTTAGCATTCAGTATTTGTTTTTCTCTTTCTGACTTACTTCACTCTGTATGACAGACTCTAGGTCCATCCACCTCACTACAAATAACTCAATTGAGTTTCTGTTTATGGCTGAGTAATATTCCATTGTATATATGTGCCACATCTTCTTTATCCATTCATCCGATGATGGGCACTTAGGTTGTTTCCATCTCCGGGCTATTGTAAATAGAGCTGCAGTGAACATTGTGGTACATGACTCTTTTTGAATTATGGTTTTCTCAGGGTATATGCCCAGTAGTGGGATTGCTGGGTCATATGGTAGTTCTATTTGTAGTTTTTTTTTTTTTTTTTTTTTTTTTGCGGTACGCAGGCCTCTCATTGCTGTGGCCTCTCCCGTTGCGGAGCACAGGCTCCGGATGCGCAGGCTCAGCGGCCATGGCTCACGGGCCCAGCGCTCCGCAGCATGTGGGATCTTCCCGGACCGGGACACGAACCCATGTCCCCTGCATCGGCAGGTGGACTCTCAACCACTGCGCCACAAGGGAAGCCCTATTTGTAGTTTTTTAAGGAAACTCCATACTGTTCTCCATAGTGGCTGTACCAATTCACATTCCCACCAGCAGTGCAAGAGTGTTCCCCTTCCTCCACACCCTCTCCAGCATTTATTGTTTCTACATTTTTTGATGATGGCCATTCTGACTGGTGTGAGATGATATCTAATT